CATTTGAAGTTATCGGCCTTAAGAGATTTTTTCTGTGCTTGTCTTTAAGAATTAAGTGGCGTGACAGAAAAAACACTTGGTAAATATGACAAAGCCCGAGAGTATCAGGAGAAAGCAATCAGTATCAGAAAAGAAATTGTCGATAAAAAAGGAGAAGCTGCAAGCTACGGAAACCTAGGAACATTGTTCCAATCACTTGGTAAATATGACAAGGCCCGAGAGTATCAGGAGAAAGCACTCACTATCAGAAAACAAATCGGCGTGAAACAAGGAGAAGCTGCAAGCTACGGAAACCTAGGAACATTGTTCCAATCACTTGGTAAATATGACAAGGCCCGAGAGTATCAGGAGAAAGCACTCACTATCAGAAAAGAAATCGGCGTGGAACAAGGAGAAGCTGCAAGCTACGGAAACCTAGAAACATTGTTCCAATCGCTTGGTAAATATGACAAGGCCCGAGAGTATCAGGAGAAAGCACTCACAATCAGAGAAGAAATCGGCGGTAAAGAAGGAGAAGCTTCAAGCTACGGAAACCTAGGAACATTGTTCCGATCACTTGGTAAATATGACAAGGCCCGATGGTATCAGGAGAAAGCACTCACTATCAGGAAAGAAATCGGCGAGAAACAAGGAGAAGCTGCAAGCTACAGAAACCAAGGAGCGATATTCACAGACCTTGGTGAGTTTGGTGAGGCTGAAAGGTATTTTGAAGATGCACTTCAGATTGCGAAGACAATAAATTCTAGAGTAGAGATGGCAATAATTTATGGACACCTAACAGGTTTGTTTTTATTGAAAGGCAAATATCCAAGGGCCGACGACTACCTAGATAAGGCACGGGCAATTAGAATGGAAATCGGTGACAAACCTGGGGAAGCAGGAGATCACCAACTCCTTGGATGCATATCCTATGAGTGTGGTCTGTATGACGAGGCTCAAGAATACTTCAAGAAATCCCTTACAATCTTGACTGAAATTGGCCACAATAGTGGAGAAGCAATCTCTTACGCACATTTAACACAACGTTTTCATTCACTCCGTAAATATGACGTGGCTGAAGATTACTTTCAAAAGGCACTCTCATTGAGCAGGGAGATTGGGCTTAACTTGGAAGAGGATCAGTTTCTTCTTGAATTGACACTGTTGAAGTTATTAAAATTGATCTCAAAGAAGCCTTTTCGTATCTTTATCAGTGCATCCAAAAACTCGAAACTTTGCGTGGTTTCCTAAAGACAGCGATCGCTTTAAAATATGTCTATTAGAAAGGCATGGCACTTTCCCCTATAAGTTGCTCAGAAAATTGCCTTGTGACATTGGGAAACCACACGATGCTCTCTATGTTGAAACATAATGCGGGCAAGAATCCTAGCCGACTTGATGGCAGCTCGATACTCTGTTGAAGAACACATCTCAGGCAATACGAGGTGATGGTGTGGTATTCAAAATATCATCACAAAGCAGACTAACTGTACCTGCCTTTACATTTCGCTTAGTAAGGCCAATGTACGGTTTTGGGTTCACAAAGCAGCGGGAGTGGCTCGTTTCTCAAAAGAGGAAGTGAGCCTGGACAAAAACGCGTTGACCGGATTAGTACCTGACTTGGATGAGTTTTTGCGAAAAAGTTTCTCCGACCCTTCCAAAGACATCACTGAAACGAAACTTCCCTTGTGCTACAAGATTATCATTGCTCCCGTGGTCCATCTTCTGAGGGAGCCCGAGATCATAATTGTCCCTGATCCCTGTATGTACCAAGTTCCATTTGCAGCCTTAACTGATCAAGAAGGTAAATGCTTATCCGAGACAAAAAGGAACCGCATCGTTCCCTCTTTGACAACTCTCAAGGTTATCCAGGACAGTCGTCCAGACTACCACAGCCAGACTGGGGCGACGATATTGGGTGACCCTAACGTTGGCGTTGTATTGTACAAAGATAGACGCAAGGACCCAAGTCCATTGCCATGCGCAAAAAGGGAGGCAGAGATGATTGGAGAACTCCTTGGCGTTACACCTTTGGTTGGAGAGCACGCAACAAAGCAGGCTTTTCTTCAAGCAATAAATTCCGTGAGCTTAATTCATTTTTCTGCCCATGGCTCTGACGAACGAGGAGAGATTTTTCTTTAACCCGAGAGTGCAAACAGGTGTGTTCTTCCTCGAGAAGAAAGCTACCTTTTGACAATGAGGGAAATTTCACAAATTCAGCTGCGAGCAAAACTGGTGGTTGTAAGCTGTTATCACAGCGCTCGTGGAGAGATTAAAACCGAGGGAGTTATTGGAATCGCTCGAGCGTTTCTTGGATCCGCTGCTCGCTCAGTGCTAGCGGCACGGTGGGCCCTTGAGGACAAAGCCACAGAGCAGTTCATGATCCGCTTCTACGATTATTTGTACCGCGGGGAAAGTGTCAGTAGATCGCTCCACAGGACCCGGAAGTGGATGAGAAACAAAA